ATGAATCAAGAAGTAGAATGTGTCGAAGATAAGGCTTGTAAGAAAATAAACAAAGAAGGGAAACCAAGTCCAAATGAAAACCGCCCTTACTTGATTAGTTTATGGCATTGTAGCCATTATATCAGTAGAAGTTGAAATTCCTTCTCTTCGGATCATTGTTGAAACCGCATTTGAGGATGAAGATTGAGTCAAGACCCGATTGAAGAAAATGACTTTGGTTGATGAAAAACGATTGACTGCAGTTATACCAACAAAGAATGGCCCGTGCCTACAACAAGAAAGTGCGGCCCAAGAAATTTGAAGTAGGGAAACTCGTTCTGAGGCGTATTCTTTCGCATCACGAGGAAACTTAAGGAAAATTTGCCCCAAATTGGAAGGTCCATACATTGTAACAAAAGTGCTGCCAAAATGGAGTACTGTATTTGGGAGACATCGAAGGAAATGTTCTCGATACAACTGTCAATGCAGATACGGTCAAAAGGTACTATATTTGACACTTTACGCAGCTTTAATGCTCTCTGATTGGGATGTCGAAGGCTTTTATTCTCACTATCCAAATACTATTAACCCTTTGCTAACCCTTTGAGCCAGATGCTTTTTCCTTGGCCACCCTCTTTGGAACCTTTTATGTAATGAGAAAGAAAAAGAAAAAAAGAAAAATAAAAAAAAAACAAAAAAAAGAGAGAAAGAAAAAAAAAAGGAAAAAAAATAGAAGCAAAAGAAAACAAAACAGAAGAAAAACAAAACAAAAATCAAAACAAGTTCAAGTTAATTGAACTACGTTCGACCTGATTCCGAAAGGATACGTAGGCAACTTCACTCTAGGGTTAGATCATACCAAAATAAAAATCCATATTCTCCCAAAAGTGAAAATTGGGGCAGATGTTACAATAGTTCGGCGATGATTTCTCCCAAAAGGTTCCAAAGTTGTAATTCAATCCAAATTCTTTTTACCCAAAACCTTTAAAGTCCTTCCGATCAATCGGCAAGAATATTCAAGAATTGGAGGATACGGTTATTTGGATCGGATGCAACCAAATGAGAAATAAAATGAGAGAGTCATGTTGGTGAAAACCCTCATGGGCACTGTAGGGCGATGATGAGTAGAGAAAATAAAAATGAGAGAGTCTTGTTTGTGAAAACCCGCAAAGAGCACTATAAGGCGATTGCGAGAAAAGAAATGAGAGAGATCAGCTAGTGAAAACCCGCAAAGGGCACTGTTGATCGAAAAGAGAAACCACGCAGCCATGGCATCAACAAAGTCCTGAGCAAGATTTTTCGATTTCAAGTCGAAAGTTGTGATGAGTTTCAAAGAGTCAGACAGTTTATACAGATTAGACATTCAGTCCAAAAGTCATGTCATGTTCATTGAAGTTCGCATGTACTCCCAGATAAGTTAGTCTTTCTATTCCCCGAAAAGGATACCTCTTGTTTTAAACACATTCTCTATTCCATTGTTTGTTTGTTTTTTCTTTGAATCCCTTTCGGTCTAACTTTGTTCTAAAAATAAGGCAAAGAAAAGATGACAATACTGATTTACAAGGTTCTCGTTTGAAGCGAGCTGATATATTCAAAAGGCGCCCAGCCTTGGCAAGGGCATCAAGTCGACCCCGACTGGCCATGATTGGCCGATGCTTTGAAATGGAAAACTTTGAAAGAAGCCAAAAGCAAAATGCCCACAAAGGCAAAATAAAGTTGAAAAAAGTTAAGTCCCATACGACCAACCGTCATGGAAAAGTTTGGAAATACCAAAGGTTCTCCGGGGTCAGAAATGCGGTTGGTATTCAGGAAATAATCAGTTGCAGTTGGAATCATTAAAGAAGATGAGCCTAGATCAAGAGATTGAAATAATCAAGGCCACAAATCGACATCCATTGTAAAACTAACAAATCTTTCTTTGTTTAGAACAAGAACACAACGATTTAAGAAACAGTTCGTGAAAAGATGAACACCACCAAGTGAAGTTCTCAAATCCTTGATTTTCTTCCAATATACATGTAAACATGTTATTTTTAGTTTTATTATAGGGAATCAATACCTTATCTTCAATACAGGGTACTACATCCCCTGGTTGCATTACTTTCTGTCTACACAGAGTACGACATTCCCTAATAGAATCTTAGAGAGATAAGAGCCTCCTCTTAATTGCCAATATAAGGTACTACACCCCTTGGTTGCATTCCTTATTTCATACATAGGGTACAACATTCCCTAGTAGCATTCGAGAGTGCCACGAGCCTCACCTTATTGCCAACACAGGGTACTACATCCCCTGGTTGCATTACTTATTGCCAACATAGTATACGACATTCCCTAGTAGCATATCAGAGCGCCACGTGCCTCATTTTATTGCCAACATAGGGTACGACATTCCCTAGTAGCATCCCAGAGTGCCACGAGCCTCATCTTATTGCCAACACATGGTACTACATCCCCGAGTTGCATTACTTTCCGCCAACATAGGGTACGACATTCCCTAGTAGCATCTCAAAGCGCCACGAGCCTTATTTTTTTGCCAACACAGGGTACGACATTCCCTAGTAGCATCCCAGAGTGTCGCGAGCCTCATCTTATTGCCAACACAGGGTACTACATTCCCTGGCTACATTACTTTCTGCCTACATAGGGTACGACATTCCCTAGTAGCATCCCAGAGTGCCAAGAGCCTCACTTTATTTCCAACATAGGGTACTACATCCCCTGGTTGCATTTTTTATTGCAAACATAGGGTACGACATTCCCTAGTAGCACCCTAGAGTGTATCGAGCCTCATCTTATTGCCAACACAGGGCACTACATCCCCTGGTTGCTTTTCTTATTGGAAACATAGGGTATGACATTCCCTAGTAGCACCCTAGAGTGTATCGAGCCTCATCTTATTGCCAACACAGGGTACTACATCCTCTAGGTACATTTCTTATTGCAAACATAGGGTACGATATTCCCTAGTAGCATCACAGAGTGCCAAGAGCCTCACCTTATTGCCAACACAGGGCACTACATCCCCTGGTTGCTTTTCTTATTGGAAACATAGGGTATGACATTCCCTAGTAGCAACCTAGACTACCACGAGCCTCATCTTATTGTCAACACAAGGTACTACATCCCCTGGTTACCTTCCTTCTTGTTGACATAGGGTACGACAATCCCTATGATAAAATATTATAAAATATAAAATAAAAAAAATCTCATTTCTTTTTCAATTTTTTATTTTGCAATAGAAAGATAGTTTATTGTATTTTCAATAACTCACAAAAAGTTTCTAGTGCAAACTGGGGCAGAAAATATTTGTTCGTTTTGTTTGTTTCTGATGGCTTGCAGGTTTTTCTGCAAAGTACGGATTGGATGTGCAAAAATAAGATTTCAGCTCTCGCCAGAGAAAGTGGAACGTTTGATCTCAATACCAGCCGAACCAGCTTTGACACTAATGCATGCAGAGATAGGATTTCAAGATCCATCTTCTCATCATTTGATTAAGAAACAGGCCTATGAGAATATTTCCTAGTCTGTTGCATCGAGAACATCAAGTTTCAGTCTAAAGTCAATGGGGGAAAGCGAGTCAAGAATCAAGACAAGACTCGAGATGGCATTTAGATAGGAATTTTATAACTCTTAGATTTCAAGAATATGTAATTTTCTTTGCATTTTGATGCTAACTCAGTTGGACCTATCACATAAATCCAGCCCATTGGGCCTAATATACATTATCCAATCCATTCTCCCTCTACCCGAAGGATTTTCAGATAACACAAAATCAGCAAATCCAGAAATGCCATCTCACTCGTTCCCTTATCCCTTCCCCACTTCCTCACCACACCACTGATACAATCAATACACATTTCCTCAGCACCACTTCTCCATTTTCCCAAAAAATAAACCATGTGAAATCACCATGCAAGAAACTCTACATCTTTCTTCTTATTCTACTTCATCTTTTTCCCTTCCTAAACCCTCCATTTCTCCGCCCAAAGCCCTCAAATCCACCACCATTTCTTTCCCTCCCCACCCAAAACCACCCACCCCCATCTCCC